GGGGCAGAGAAGAAGGGGTGGGGGGGGGCGAGCCTGCCGCGTTCAGCAAGACTATTGGTCCGCACGGGAGAGGACTGACAGCGGGGATCCGTGATGGTGACTCGCTGAACTCTCCATCCCTCCGTTTGTTCCACATGGTCCCGCCCCCACCACTTACGGTTACGCGCACTCTTCCTCGCTCTCTCTCCCCTCTCACGTCACTGAACGACGTCTGTATTCGAGGACACCTTGACAGCCTCCCACAGCATCATCATCATCATGCACATCATCGTCTTTTCTCTCTCTCTCTCTCTCTCACTCTCTCACACACACACACACACACACACACACACACACACACACACACACACACACACACACACACACACACACACACACACACACACACACACACACACACACAACGTAGGCCAACACATTACATTACAAGATTCAAAAGCTTTATTGTAATATGCACAATATAAAAAACAGTGCAAGAAAAAACTGAGTTTTAATATTATAGTGCAAGACCAATGTGCAATGAATGCAGATGAAGTAAGCTATATACATGTAAAAACAAAATGCACAATTTAAATGTAATAGGATAAACAACAACAGAATGACACACACATACAAACGCTCATTGATCCACATGCAAATCCAGTGGACTGTTGACAGTCCGATGAGCGTCCGTGTCCCGCCATAAATTACGAACCGCTTTTGAATCTAAATGAGCAGAACTGCCTTACAGAGACTTGTGTTTGGATATGGGCTGGCGGGGCTGTCATTCGCTATGGTGCTGAAGCACGTGGTGCTGAAAGGACAGCTCCACGCGCGCATACACAGACTGCGCGCACTACATCGAGCGGTGTTATTGAATTGAAGTGATGATAGGTCAAGAGAAAACTTATAGACTAACATGAAAAACAAGATCCCCCCCCCCNCCCCCCCAAACACACACCCTCCCCCCTTGTTGCATAACTTTTCTTCAGCAGGAAATGGATGTAGGCCTATCTTTCTGTTATATTCACACGGGAAGTTAAGTTTCTACCGCTTTATAGGCTATCCCTTCTAAATAATGGGATTCAACCGGGACCATTGTGTTCTTGTTTTAAGCCCACACTGTCACTCTCTGCCGCGGGGTAGAATATCGCCTTTGCACCAAAGCCTTGTGTTTGACAGAGACAATCCTCTCCGTAGACAGGCTTCACGAAAACTAGCTTTTAAATCTCAAGCTACGTAGCTTTCCGTAGCCTCGTTCAGGCACACAAGGCTCTTGGCCATGACACAGTTCAAGCATGATCAATAACAACGAAAAGCAAGTAGAATATATGTAGCCAAATAAAATATATAGATTTAATTTAACCTTTTATAATCTGTAGCCTAAAATGCACATTTGCCGTGTAAAGAAATATTGAACCATTTCTTATCTGAGAGTGTTGTAAAGTTATTTTTCTACGTTTTAGTTACCAATTAAGAATGGCTTTGTTATACAATTCTGAAGTGAAACTGGGCTTTATTTCCAACAACACAATACTGGTACAGTATTTGGTACAGAAAACAGGATGATGTTAAATCGTGTGCCTATACATTTCTGTATTTAAGATTACCTCCACCATGACTGGCAACATTTAAATGCTGCTTTTTGATGCATCGCTAATAATAAGATAATACAATGATTTACTGTATCCTGTTGTCTTTTAATCAGATGAATTTACATATAAGAAGCATTTTAATATTGTAGCTGGTTGTGTGAAATACATGTTTAATGATTTAATATACTGTTTGGTTAACACATATTTTATAAACTAATATATTCGGTTGTAAAATCGTAATGGGAAAAAACAGAGTAACCAGAAAAATATTCCTAAGAGAAATATGGTGCAGTAGAAGTAGAAAGAAGCCATGCACCTGAAGCAAAGTATTAGGTTGCATTCGACTACTGCCTTGCTTGCATTTTTACTTGTAGGGTAAAGTAGAGTTTTTTTACATTTTGGTAATGATACTTATTTAAAACGGATCTGAGTTGTTGACAGGACATTAAGCTGGACAAATATGTGACCAATAGGGGCAACTGTTTCAGGGCCCAGACCCCAAACAGCCTGGCAAGTAGCAACTTCTTTTTGGTGATTTATCAACCTTTTAAAAAAGGACCTTGAGTGCTTTACTAACTGAATCGAGGATATGCTTTATGGCAGACCTTATACTTTCATACCGAAGAGCGTCAGCATGGTAGGAGGGGAAACACATATCGACACCCAAAGTAAACATGGAGTTTGCCGAAATACTGTCACATACTTTCAAACTCGAACACATCCAGTAGAGGACGACAGATTAACTTCCGCTCCCCGCCGTGCAGCTGACCAATGAGCTTCCAGGACACTGGAAGGTGGGCGGGACCATACTAAACGCAAACATGGCGGCGTCCTTAGATGATGATTTTGAGTCTGATAACCAGGATTACTACTCTCTGCTCAACGTCAGGAAAGAGGTATGGCTTTATTTAGTTTAACAGGCACACCGAAGGTTGACTGACCTCTCGATGTGACTGTCGGTCATATAACCTTTAGGAAAGTGGTCTTCAGACGGTGCTTCACCCTCCATTCGAGGAACCGTCTTCTTCATCAGCACCATCAGACCGGTGGATGCTGCAGAATCATGAAAAGCCGGTTATTTCATCATCTACTTTAGTTAAATGCAGGCAGTGAATATTCTCTGAAGTGTGTGCAAAAATAATATGTCTGCACCGATGTGCATCTTTTCAAATCTCATTAAACTAGGGAGAGACCTGACTAGGATTTATTTGGCGTTCAACTAGATAACGTTAAGTAGCATTAGTTAATGTGGCAGACACCATTGCCCAGCAGGAAATACATTGACCCAATTTTAGTCTGTGGTTTATTGTCAGTGGACAGGTAACTATTTTCAATTGTGTTTAAAACTGGGATGCTTAAATGCAACAGTATTGTATTGACTGAGTGAAAATGACACAATTTGAGAGGTTATTTTCAATCAAAAATGCCTCTCAAATGTGAAGATCTCCTTCTTTGATCTGTCTTATAAAATATACACTGGACTTTGCAATCCAATATGCTCATTGGTTCTGGCATTTTAGAGACTAAACTAATCAAATATCCGTCATATTAATCCCTAATGAAAATAATTGTTGGTCACAAGTGACACCTGTCCTCTCTGCCTTGCTACAGGCTACATTGGAGGAGCTAAAGGCGTCATATCGGAGGCTGTGTATGCTCTACCATCCTGACAAACATCGAGACCCAGAGCTGAAAAGCCAGGCTGAGCAGCTTTTTAACCAGGTGCATCAGGCATATGAAGGTAAGGACACTTGTAAGTAATTGGGATTCAAACAAGGAAAAAGCAAATATCGTAATAGTTTTTGATGAAATAACCCCCTCTCCATTTTGCAACATTATCGTAGGGTTAACCATTTAAAAAAAAGAATCATCAATCATTTGGATATAAAGTTTTAGTGTGTATATGATAATAATAGATTAGATTGCTAAAAAAATAAATGCATCATATTACTGTAATCAAGCCCTCAAAAACAGGAAAAAGACTAAACATTAGACTATATCTTGTCTCATTGGACAATATATTATTATTATTATTATTACATGTCACTTGTTAGACGCTTTTATCCAAAGCGACTTACATACTCAATACTGTGGACAATCCCCACAGGAGTAATTTGGGGTAAAGTGTCTCAGGGACCCAACGACATGCTGACTGCAGTGTGGTTTGAACCCGTGACCCCCTGATCCGAACACCTACGGACAACCCACTATGCCACACGCCCCCCATATTGTATTACATAGTCAGTTAAAACATTGTATTGCCATTCTTGTTTGGAAAATACAGATGAAATTAAGCAGGGCACGGAAACAGACACAACTCCATTCAAAGCACACAACAAAATCAATCCCTATAAGCTGAACCACAAGTTCTCTCTATGCCCTCAGTGCTGAGTGATGCTCACTCCAGAGCCATCTATGACCTCTTTGGCAAGAAAGGGTTGGAGGTGGAAGGCTGGGAGGTATGTATTCTGTCTTTTTTGCTGCTACTTTAGGCATACTTCACATGAACATATCTTGATAACTGTATGGCGTTGATGCTGCATAGGTGGTGGAGAGGAAGAGAACTCCAGCAGAAATTCGAGAGGAGTATGAAAGGCTGCAGAGAGAAAGAGAAGAGAGAAGATTGCACCAAAGAACCAACCCCAAGGTTTTTACAGTCACAACTTCACCACATTCCTCAGTCAACTTCACTTATTTGATTGTATTTCTTGTGCGGGCCACCATCTTTAAGCAGATATTACTGAATACATTATGTAACACAACTCAATTTTGACTGTGGATGGTGTCCACATTCATTTCATTATGTCCCTCATCCTTTTCATGCTTTTTTAATTAATTCTGTCAGTCTCTCCACTTCACTCCTTTGTTATGCAGGGCACCATCAGCGTGGGTGTGGATGCAACAGACCTGTTTGACCGCTATGATGAGGACTTTGAAGAGATGCCAGGAGGAGGATTTCCTCATATTGAAATCAACAAGATGCATATTTCCCAGTCCATAGAGGTACAACAAAACACACACTCAGTATTCACTCTACATATTGAATACAACCACATTTTCAAACACATTTCCTAATTTCAACACATTTCTGCTGCCTTTTATATGTTCTATTTAATTTATGTTTTTCCTGGTGCTTTGTTGCCTAATGTATGTGTCGTTGATTTAACATTTTGTGTTGATATTATCCTTCATTAATGATTGTATGTGAAGTAAATTGACCATGGAAGGCACCAATTGAATACATTGTATTACTGTTATTAGCATTATCTTTAAACATACACAGCTACTTGTCTGAGCCAGGGTGAATGCAGTATTCTGTGTTTTCCTGTTTTTCTTCAGGCTCCTTTGACGAACACTGACACAGCAGTGCTGTCTGGTTCACTCTCCACACACAATGGGACCGGAGGGGGCAACATTAACATGACCGTCCGAAGGGTTACGTCGGCAAAGGGCTGGGGAGAGGTACACACACACACACACACACATATAAAGACAAATTGGTGACAGCATGTGACAAATGTTCAATTGGGATGATACTGATTGTTTTTGGTACAGAATGCAATCAGATGTTCTTGTGGGTTCTCCTCTGCAGTTGGAGTTGGGAGCTGGGGATATACTTGGACCTCTTATCGGATTGAAGGTGTTTCGCAACATCACCCAACGGTGGTAAGGCCTGATTCTCTGATATAGGGGACTATAACATGCACTGTATTTACATACATTCAATGGTTGGGCTTATTTGAAGATAATGCACTTGCAGGATTCTTGCTTTTCTGAATTTGTATCCTCATGTTTTACTGCACTAATTGTAAGGCGCTTTGAATGAAAGGGTCATCAAAATGAGATGTAATGTAGCATATGAAAAGCATATTCTGCCTCTCTAATGTTTTCTCTGTTTCTCTCCTGTCTGTCCAGTTTCTTGACAGCCCAGTGCGGTCTGCAGTTCTCTCCTCGAGGTTTGCGCCCCACCTGTTCTATGATGACAGCACGTCACCTGGACCAGAACACCATGGGTTACCTGCAGTGGCGCTGGGGGCCCAGCAGTGCCATGACGACCAGCCTGGTGCGGGACACAAAGAGCAGCCACTTCACTCTGGCTCTGCAGGTAAACATAAAGGCAAACAATGATACGGTACACAGCTACAGTACCTGCTGTTAGTATGGTAAATACAGGTTGTGCTGTAATTTAAAGTGGTAAAATAAAAAAAAATTGAATGACCCCCCTCCCTACCATTTCGAAATGGTATCATTTTGGCTAGAAGATAAGTATTTAAATATATAAAATTGTAATAAATTCCTAATAATGTGATGACGCCGGTGATATGCAAATGACAGTTTTATATTAAATAGTCATTATAATACAGTATTCATTCTCTCCTAACGTCCCTTGCAGTTGGCGGTGGCTCACTCCTACCTGATGATGAGCTATCAGTACAAGTTTCAGGATGAAGACCAGACTAAAATCAAAGGCTCTGTGAAGTACGTCTGTTCATTTATCCTGTCTGTCTCAAAGGGTTTCTTGTCACCTTAAAGGTGGGGTAGGTAATTTTGGAGAAACCAGCTCGAGTGAGCTAGAAAAATCTGCCACTTCCTTACAGAGCCCCTCCTCCAACACACACGAACGCGCACATGACCAATGAGGGCACGAGATAAGTTTGTTCACAGATGGAAGGCTGACAGGCAGGTAGGCCGGTCCGGCTAAAATGATTGGTCGTACTTTTTACATTACTACGGCTTCCACAGATGACATTTTTTATGGATTTTTTGTCAAAGCACTTCAGATATTCATTGCTATCGGGATGTTAAGAGTATTCCATGGAATATAACAAAAAGTGTCATCATAGTATCTCGAGCTGGTTTCTCAAACTTACCTACCCCACCTTTAAGTAACAGTTTTTTTTATTATAATTGTTAAAATATAAGTCATATTGTTTTTTTTAGATCGTAGCAATTATTTTCTAATAATATAATGTTTTTATAGCACATTTTTGAGAAAGAAAAACAATGTAGGAAACATAAACATATGTAAAATGCATAAATAGGGAGTTCATTGATACATACAATATTCATGTAAAAGTATTATTTACAATAAAAGTAGAAAATATCTTCTATTGTAAAAAATACTTTCAATCTTTGGTTGTACTAAAATGAACCTACTTCCTGAGTTAATGACTAAAGTAGCTGAATAACTCTAATGGTTTATTTTTGCGTTCCTCCCTCTCCAGGACAGGCTGGTTTGGTACTGTGGTGGAATATGGAGCAGAGAGGAAGATCAGCCGACACAGTGTCCTGTCAGCCACTGTCAGCATCGGGGTCCCTCAGGGGGTCACGCTCAAGATCAAGTACTGTCCAACCCAACATACGATCTCATTCTCTCGCGGGTCCTAATCTCCCTGAATCTAATGTATGAGTTTATTTGTTCTTGTGTTTCTGTGCAGGTTAGCGCGTGCCAGTCAGACATACCTGTTTCCAATCCACCTCACAGATCAGCTGCTGCCCAGCGCGGTCTTCTACGCCACCGTTGGACCCCTGCTTTTCTTCATGGTCGTCCACAGACTGGTCGTCATCCCATATACACAAGCACAGAAAGAGCAGTCAGTACATCTTCTGTCCTAATAACACTCAATCAGCATCTCACTTCACCAAAATGTGACAATATCGATCTATAATGAGTGGCCTGCCCCCCGGTTTTGAGAAACAGACAAGAGTTTCTAAATTGAAGCAAAGCAATGTAGACCTGTGGATAAGGGGAGCAGCAAAACCTTTTTCGGCCGCCGTCTCAAAAAATCAATATCAGTTTAAGTGTACACTATATTTGGAATTTTTCGCCTCTTTACCTTGCTGCCAGAAAGCCTTTACCTGGAGGAACTGAAGTGGTTATCTAAGCTCTCTTCAAAGCAGCCTGACTCCTTTGACAAAAACAGTAATTTGACCGCACAGAAAACAGAAGTTGGTCTACCTCTGCCTCGATCTGGTGGTTTTGAAGATACTTTAGATAAAAGCTTCACTCCCCCCTCCAAAAGGGCTGTCATGTGACAAGGTAATTTGTAATGTGGCTGATGTTTGGCTGCTTGCCGTGTCCACCTGTCCGCCATTTCCTTTAATACCATTTACAACGGCACTTTAGAAGATCAGTTCTCTCCCTTTAAGTTGTGCAGTTTTCTAAAATGTGTTTTTTGCATTAATGAGGGATGGTTTTGTTATAAAACTTGCTGTCTTCCAGCTAAAAAACCACTATACATCCCTGAGTTACAACATTTGATTGCTGGTGTCATTAATATTGCGGGCGGGTTCTATCACACTGGCACTGTCACCACAGAGGGCCTCCACAGTGATTCCTGGTGGGTGATTGTTGATGTCTGCTTTGTGCTTCTCAGAGATTTGGAGCTGCAGAGGAAGAGCTCGGCCGTAGACATTGCCAAGAAGAAAACCGAGGCAGAGTCTGCTGTGAGTACTCACACTCGCAGTGTGCCAACCCCACAGTTACTCAATGTGTGTGTGGGAATCATTGTTTCTACGTTCAGCTCTCCTCATCTTGTCTGAAAATCTCTCTCCGATCCAATTCTATTTTGTCTTCCTCCTCCTCCTCCTCTATCTCCCTCGACTCCTCTGCAGGTTCTGCTGATGCAGGAGTCTGTGAGGAGAATCATAGAAGCGGAAGAATCCAAGATGGGTGAGGGAACACACACAAACAAACACACACAACAATCAAGAGTGAAACCTTTTTAAGTTTGCTGCCAAAACTTAGAAAAAAATCTTAATTCACATGTGGGACGTTTCTCATGGTTACGTTAACTGTGTGATGTAGTGATGCTCTAGGATTAAGTTTTTACTAAGTCTGACTTCCATCATCTACTACTGTAAAGCATGTGTTGCTGATGCAGCCCATCTCCATGCAGTGTTTACATAAATTAAGCCTGTTAGTCTGTGCACACAACACCAGTGTGTCAATTGCTAAGTCCTGACTGCAATTTCAGTGTGTTCATTTATTTCCCATTATAATTGGTAATGATATCAAGCCAATAAAGTAAGATGACAAAGTTATTGGCCTGTCAGTCCTCTTCTTATCTGACACAGGTTCTGTGTATTCACAGGAAAGCACTTATAGTTGTCCACTTCTAATACAAGAAGTGCTAACTGTGTCCTAGACAGTATTTCAGTATGTCTGTATCACACGTACTCTCCCACTTACTCCCCCTTCACTTCATGATACTTTTTAAAATCCATCTTATTATCTACAAATCTCTCCATAGTCTCACCCCTACATTTCGGAACTTCTCTCCCCTTACAGCAACATAACACTTCTCAGATCCGCCCACCCATTGCACGTTAGCTTTGCTCCATTTGTGGGAAAAATAAATATGGGGACAGGGCTTTTTCTGAAGCAAGACGTACATTTAGAACCACCTGTAATCTCTGGGCATCAATTGTGATCAGATTTTCCTCCACATGTACGCACATAAACAGTATGTCTTTATGCTTGCATTGTGAGTACATGATAGTATGTCTTTGTGAGGCACAAAACATGTTTACTTAGATACTATGCAAATAAAAGAACGTTTTGTTATCTTGTATGCACTGCCAAAGGGAAATGAGAGCACTAAACACTGAGCTTCTGTCTAGGTCTGATCATCCTGAATGCCTGGTATGGAAAGTTTGTGACGGACACCAGCCAGAAGCAGGAGAAAGCAAAGGTCATCGACGTCACCGTGCCTCTGCAGTGCCTGGTCAAGGACTCCAAACTCATCCTAACAGAGGCCTCTAAGGTGTGTGTTAGTGTGTACATGTCAGTGTGTCCATTTGATTGTCCACACCTCTGTATATGCATGCGTATGAATTGCTTCTCTGTGTGCAGGCTGGGTTGCCGGGCTTCTTCGACCCCTGTGTGGGAGAGGATAAGAGTCTCAAGTTACTGTACCAGTTCCGAGGCGTCATGCACCAAGTCATCTGCGCCGACACCGAGGCACTACGGATACCCAAGCAATGTTAGTATGCAGCCACTTCACCCAACCGAGCCAGAATTATTATCACTTAGCAACACACTACTACAGTATAAGCCTGCATCCATGTTCAAATGATATTTATTCTGTCTTTTCAGCTCACAGACTCGAGCCTGAGTCCTCCTAGGAGCCCACTACTGTTGCAGCACCAGAGGGCGAAACGCAGATCAAACGGACTGTGTGTCAACAGAAAAAACGAGGGGACAAATCAACAATAAGTCTGTTACTCTCCTCTGGTCCTCTTCTGTCATGGTATTTAGTGAATCTGTTTATCCAGTTCCTCCACTTATCCCTCTCCTCTGAGGTTCAGCAGAATACAGGAGGCAGCTCACAGTGTGTGTCTCTCAGTCAAATATCTGACAGCTGCAGGAGATCAGACACTGGCCCTGAACATAGTTTTATATATAAGTAAATATATATACATATATGCACTACACAGAGGGACTGATGGCCACTGCGGATGTGGTGACCATTCCTGTCCACGATGAGCTCAAAGTGCACATATATTTAAAGAAGTGTATTGACATTTTTTTATGTCAAGTATATAGAAATGAGCCGTAATGTAATTTTACCCCATGTCATTGTCGTCTTAGGGTAGGTTAATCTATTCATGTTATAACATACCAGTCATTTCATTAACTCGTGCAAATGTCTCTAAAATGCAGAATCATTTCTCTGCGTAACTTGTGTTTTGGTTCACTTTATTGAAATGTCCCTAGTTCATTTATTTTACCTTTGAGTGACATGTCTGCTGCTCAGGTGAAAACTGGTGCTCAAAACTTATATCTGTGAAGCTCGGATATGGAAGTTAGAGGAGGAAAAGTGAGAGAGATGCCCTTTGATGGTAGTGGTCCAACCAAGGCTTAAATCTTTCATACTGAATTTTTAATTCAGGCAAGACTGCATTTTTAAAGCAGAAGTTCCCCTTCGATTTGCGTCAGTGTTTATCGATTGTTGCTCTTCAGCTGCGGCCCAATGATTTTTAATAAATGGAGGTTGGGTGTGTACTTCACTGGTATAGCAGCCCTAAGCCCCTGACAACAGTAACTACTGGTATGCATTTATCATATTTAGGCCTATGTAGATATGATTAAAGCTGTTTGGCGTAGGTCAACACATTCACTGTGACAGGCAATAACTTGAGCTGACAGGAGCCACACTAAAACCCTCGTACTGATCATGGAACATTAACATGGCTGCATTTATTTGTTGGATTGTGTCTGTTTGTACACCAGACGGGTGCCATATATTTGTATTTGTTGTTCTGTCCCTTTTTTTTTTTTTTAATTGAATTCATCTGCTATTGCCATGTCCCTTCTTATACATGTATAAGGTGCTAAACCATGCTCATCACTTACGTGATAATCAACACACCATTAATGTTGATATGGATAGACCTAATATCATGATGCACTTTCTGTTCAGATCTGTTGCAATTTGAAATTGTGGATTGAAACTGTTACTACAAAGGGAATAGCATAATTAAAATGATTGCTCCATTTTGTTGGGAGACACCGTCATGGGCTACGGTGAATCCCTGAAAGCACTATCAAAAATAGTATATTGACCTAAAATGTATTTATTTTCTTTGCACAAAAAGTACATATTAGAGGCTTGTCATTATGACAGTGGAGCTGAAGCCTCTAAATTAAGTTGCGTACTTTTACTGAGTTTACATCTAAGAAGTTATGACAGGTTTATTTTATATTGTGCATTTTTTCCATTGCTGCAATTGACTCACAAGACGAGGGGGGTGTGTAGGCTCAAAAATAAAAACAGGTAGCATTACGATGGATACGTTTTTGTTATTGGTTGAAAGGATGTGTCTCTACAGTCAGATCCATAGCAGTCTTGTGTCACGATTACAGCAGCCATTTTGCACTTGACTGTTTGTAGCATTTGTCTTCCCTCGTTAGTTTTAAGTGTGCTGTAAAGTGTTTTGACAGGTCAGCTGGTCACCTCTGCTCCAGTGCCGTCTTGAGGCGCCATGGGGTCAGCAGAAAGACGGCTTCCCTGCTGTTCCACTCCTCAAACTGACCCACATTAGTATGTAAATATGCTGTATGGTTGAGGAGCCTGTGTTCCCTGTCCTGTAAAAAGTACAATAAATATGAAGCGATCAGATTCCTGTTTGATTTCAAGAGCGTTGCAGATGGACTAGCCAATTAGAAAATGCACTGATGTTATGAAGACAAAAAGGAAACTAGTTAAAATGGTAACTCTTTATTTACAATAGTTTACAATAGTTTCACAGAAACAGTTTGCACCACAGAACAGACAACGCTTTCTCAATAAGGGGATAGGATAACCCAAGATCTGGATCAAACGAGCTTTATCACAATGAGCTAACATTGATTACACTGATGTATTAAAGAGGCAGACTAGAATTTGGACTTTGTGCCCAAAGATATCTCTTCAGGTTCTCTTTTCATGACATGAACGTCCTGAGAAACTGCTTTTTATGTCTTGAAAACTCCCTAAAAACATAAAAACCTGATGTTTCTTATGAACTGGTGATTGCTGGATAGAAACCAGTTAACCAGACAAGAGTGTAGCTTAACCACTTTAAACTTTTAGAAAGTCCTGTATTCTTCACATACCAAAGATGCATTGTGTATGTGAGTCATTGCCCAGTCGAAGTAACTGATTCTGCATTGTAAAATCCCATCCTGGACTTGTATAAAAGGTTCTGAGTCTAAAATCTGTCACTACAGTATGGCTTTTATATTTGATCAGAAAAAACAGCAGATGGCACATGAATAACGAAGCTTAAAAAACAACATTTCCAGCAAGTTTTAGGGGAACAGTGCAATAGTAAAAGCATTTTTTTCAACTAAACCTGCTGCATGTGGAAATAAGTGAATACTGCTGTGAAAACATTAGTGAGAGGTAAGAGACTAAATCTGTTCTCATGATGTGACCCTTCAGAGACAAACAAAAACAGACCGACCGGCCCATGGTTCTTTGCAGATATCCATTTCTGTTTCTTACAAAGATTGAAACCATGAAGCTAAGTTGAGCCATAGCAGCACATGCTTTGCCAACACCCTCACACTGTCATCCTTTCAAACAAACACTCATGCATAATTTCAACTGGACTATTTCTAACAACACTATTCCAGTTACAATAGCTTTATTTTCTGTTGATACTTTAACAGGACGGTCAAAGGAGTTCCCTTCTATAAATATGCTTGTCTCTGAAAACTCTGTCATGAGCATGAAAACAGAAGACATGAAACAGAGGTGAATTCAAATAATGGTTGGAAAATAAAAATAGTTATGAACAATACCACTGTTCTAACCCGTCATTGAATGCAGCAAAAACACTGAGAAGAGGCAAAAGAGAACTTCAAACTGAAAACCCTGTCATCTGAATCTGGACAGTTTTATATATGTGAAATAAGAAGTTATTTAATATAGAAAAAAACTGCTCATCTGAAAAGGATTCTGGTGAAAGACAAACACTGTTTAAACATTTTGAAAATAAAAAGGTGTGAGAACTTTGTGTATGGCCAAGGAACGTCTTAATTGAGAGGCTGGAAGACAGTTTCTGAAACAGAAGGGGGAGGAAGAAGCGCTTGGTTCAGTTAACGGGCTTCAAGCCTCAATGATATTCTTTCACAATGTTTTAAATAACAAAACAGAAACAGAAAGAGATGAAGCAGATGCAGACTCTCGTATCCTACATCTTTGTTCTAGTGGATTATACCTCAGCGTAATACTATAGCACCATCTGAAGCAGTTAACACAAGGCTTAGCTTGTTTTACGGTTAATTATTTAACATTTATAGAGTCATCTAAAAGAAGACAAATCCAGTTTAATCAGAAAGACATACATGTCCTTATGACAGAAAGGTCATATGAATCCTTAAAAAAAAAAAAGCGAGAACAGTGCAAACTGTCTTTCCTACAAATCCCAGCATGCATCCTAGTGGGTGGCAGTTTTGAGGGTATTCTCTCTATATGGCAGTTCATATGTTTCCAGTGTTCACGAGACACCAAACAGTAGAGGTTTGTCCCTACGCTAATGTCATCTACAGACGGACATCCATTCAGTGATTGCCTAACGCACGGAGTCTGTAGGGATGCAGGAACAAACCTTAGTTAAATCTAAAAATCAAACTGTTTTCAAAAAGGGATAGGGGCTTGGGATAGGTCCACCAAAGTGTGTATAGAAAATGTGGGGTTCATGGCTGGGCATGAAGGACAGAGACTGAAGGTTGCAAGACCTGAATTTGAGGAAGGGTCAGTCCAGCAGGCGGCATGGAGGCAGGAGTGGAAGGGGTCAGAGTTCAGGGGTCGACCTGGGGTCAGTCCAGCAGATGCTTGCGCGGGCCTATGCGCGAGCGGTGGGACCGGCGGGCGTCTGCGGTCCCGAGTGACTCTCGGCAGCTCTGGCACGTATATGTCTCTGGAACGTGGCTCTTACGGATCTTGGCACAGGACAGGTGGATCCAGGTGTTGCACTGGTTACACTCGATCATGGCCCGGCCTGCGAAAGGCTTCATGCAGAAACACGTCACCAGGTCCCACGAGTCGTCATCTGAGGAGGCAGGAGAGAGCATACAATGAGTCAAAATATGGACACTCTTAACGTTCTTTTATACACCGAGGGATATGACGTGTTTATGCCGTGCTATAGCAGAAATGTATCCACATTTGCACAATGTTGTGTATTAGGACAGTGTGTCGTCACCTTTTTAAATAGATGAGCAAATCCTGCAGGAAATGTCAAGTCATATATATTGCACTATATTTATTGCACATTGACTGAAGTCTTTTATGTATTGGCTCCGGTTTACATTTAAAACTGTAAATTATTATTTTCAGGAACCGTAAATCTTTAAAGGTCATCTATCATGCTATTTTTAGGCAATAGCATAGGTCTCAGATATATACAAATATTAGGGGTGCACCGAATGGGAAATTCTTGGCCGAAACCGATACCGAAAATAGGAAACTGTTGGCCGAAAACCGAATGCCGAAAATGATTAATAGAAATATATATATATATATATATATATA